CCCTTTAAATGAGCCACTAAAGCCTGTTAACCCTCATTGAGACGTGTTTACAGAACACCTGATTCCTGAGTGTGCATGTGATGCGATCGATGTGAAAACTCAGCGATAGTGAAGCCTTCTAATGATGCACGACGCTTGAGAAAGAAACCAAGCGATGTCTAAATTACATTAAAGGGGAAGTTCAGGGGTGAAACTGTGTTTCTGAAATCCATCATTCTGGGAACGTGTGCAAAAGGGAAAAATGGTGCATAAAGAGACTTTTTAAAAAAAGGGGTTTTGTATCGTGGGTGACATTTTATTAATTTATTTTTTACATTTTTCATAATCTGCCTGTAAATGTTTGTATCTCAGGGGATACGGCATAAATCAAGATTTTTTTTTTTTTAATAAAAGATATTTTTTACATGTAGACTCTGTGGTCTGTAGACTTTAGACTGATTTCAGTTCAATACTTCAAACTCTTATATGATCATTTAATCATTAATCATTTAGTTGGCGATACTGGATTTAGTTTTAGGTGAACAATGCATGGATTTGTTCAGATGAAGTAGACTACGGTTTATCAGAAGAGTTTTGATCATGTTGATCATTTATAGGCCCTAGAAATGCATATCAAATATGATACAGTAGGCTAATATAGTTCTAATGTCTAAAATAAATAGACATAGCTATTGTTTAACAGAATGTTACAACAAACGTTTACTGTAAGTTAATATGAGAGAATAAAATGTTTAAAAATGTAGCTGAAATGTAGCACACGCATTCTTTTTTTAGTGAACAAACAGTAAAATAAAAAATTAATAAAAAGTCATTGTAGAAGCCTCGAACTTTAAAGGGGTCATCGGATGCCCATTTGATACAAGTTGATATGATTCTTTAGGGTCTTAATGAAAAGTCTATAACATACTTTGGTTAAAATTTCTCAATCGTAGTGTAAAAAACACCTTTTTACCCTGTCAAAATAAGCTCTGTTTTTAGCAAGCAATTCTAGTCCATGTTGCTTTAAATGCTAATGAGCTCTGCTGACCCCGCCCCTCTCTTCTGTGGGGTGATAAGAAGTACTGTTTACTTTAGCCGCAAAACGTGTTTACTAGCACATATTAGGAAAGGCGATTTGCAAAGATTCATAAAAAACCTGATACTCAGGTCTTCTGTAGATGAAGCTGGATCATGAATGATTCGCGCGAACTTAAACGCATTTAGGCAGATTGGCGATCGGCGCATTCCCTTCAAAACGAAAGTAACGTTAATCCTCTGCGTCTTCAGCGGCTCTCAACACCTCAATCCCTTAATCGGAGACATTCTTGTCTTCCCCTGCACCGGAGTCGACACAATGGCGGACTGAAGACAGCTCACTCAGGGCGGAGCTAAGGTAAGACGGACTTGTCAATCAACTATCGTGGGAGGGGCCTGTGCAGAACTAAGGAGAAAACACTCTTGGAACTACGTCACTCTGACAGGAATCTCAGAACAGCCTAATTTGAGAAAGGGGATTTTAAAATAGTGATTTTAACACACAACATGCACGCACTTTATGCCCACAGCTGTTGAAAACGGATTCGCTGCCCCCGATTCCACTTCCTGTAAATACTTAAATGTGTGTCACCACAGGAAGACGCCGACATTACTGTTTAAACAGGAATATACATGAAATGCACAAGTAAATAATACAATAATAATACAAACAAATTATTATCATGATTTGATATAAATAACTTAAAGTGCATTCAGAGCCAGCAATGAGGCAATGCAAAATGGAAACAAAGTATTAAAGTTGCCATAACAGTCAAGTTTGCAAAAATAAAAAAAAATTATTCATTTGTATTATTTGTGTCCTAATAAGATGGAAAATAGCAATACGTTAATTTTTTAGATGTCTCTTTATGGTCTTGCCCTTTTTTAGGGATATAGTGTTTATTCGTGAAAGGCTTTTCACATCGACCCAGCTAACAGAGAACGTTCTGGCAAGATACTTTTAAAGTTATGAACAAATGTTCTTCCAGTTAATAGCACTTTTGTTCAAAGTTATCTGTTCTTTGAAGCAGCACTATGTAACTTTTTCTGTGTTCAAAATTTGCAAACTGTATCTAATGAGCGAGTACATCATGAGTTCATCTTCCAAACCGCGTTTTTGTCTTATTCCGAATCACTACGGTACACTTATAATAAGTACTTATATTCGGACTATTGTAGGCTGGTCACCGCTGCGGAGTAACACATACCTGCGTGAATCGCCAGAGACATACACTTAGAGAAGTAGATCCGGTTGGAATGTTCTTCCGCGGGATGTGTGCAGTTCTGTTTATTAACCGCTAGAGCGACAACAGTTACATAGTGCTGCTTTAATAATGTTCTCAAAATGTTAGCCGTTAATTATACGTTGTTTATAGAACATTTTATCTGAAACGTTTTAGTTGGATGTGAATCTAAGTTACTTGTTTCAGAACATTTAGAGAAACATTCCCATAATGTTAGCAAAATTATCAAATGGGATGTCCCTTATGAAAATTAACCATGGTAATACTACAAAAAAAACATGGTTATTGTAGTTAAACCACGGTAACCACACATTAACCACAGTTTAACCATGGTATTTTAAGTAAAACTTTGATTATACAAATGGTAATCAATCCACCACAAACATGGTTACTAGACTTTAATAATTATAATAAAACCATGGTTAAATTCAATACATTTTTGTAAGGGGTTCCCTTAATGTTCACATAACCAAGAAATAAACTTTACATTAAAAAAAACTGGACGTTTTGAACGTTCAGAGAACATTTAAAAAAACTGTCTTTTTGTCTCTAGAGCTGTCACAGACACAGATGTGATTATATTTTACTGAAAGTAGCCTGACAAAAAAATATTTTGTGTGATCAGAGACACATGAGTGGCGTTCGCCCTCTGCTGGTGGATCTGAGCATCACACACACACACAAACACACACACACACACACACACACACACACTCTCTCTTCACTGAGCTCCTGTAGCGGACTCACGAGAAAGCATGCAGTAAGTAAGAAGTGCGTCATTTGAGACACAGCCAGAAATGCACTTCTGCTTTTATTCGGTGTTTGACCTTGTTTAGCAGGATCTCTCTCTCTCTCTCTCTCTCTCTCTCTCTCTCTCGCTCTCTCAAATTAAAAAATGTTTTTAAAAAATTGCTTTATTGGCATGACTAAAAAATACAATATTGCCAAAGCTTGGAATATATGTGAAGAAATATAACAATGAAAGATCAAAATAATAGAAGAACATTATAACAATTTAAGCTTAAATTCTCTGTGTGCATTTTGCATTATTGACACTATTTTCCTAATTAATGCTGTTCAGTTGCTTTGACACAATCTGTATTGTTAAAAGCGCTATATAAATAAAGGTGACTTGACTTGACTTGACTAATGAAACAATACATTCATCTTTGCACTGCAGAGGTGGAACAGAAGTTGCATCAGAGTTGGTACAATTGCAACTTAATGTTTAATGTTATGAGATTAATGTTTTATATATAAAATAACCTCGAGTACTACAACACTACTACATTCACCGATGGAAATATGAACAAGAAAATGCATCTGTCCATCAGAGAGCATCCATTCACCCTCCACGGCTCAGATGAACACGTTTCCTCAGATGCTCCTCATGGACTCACGCTGAAGAAACTGCTTGTGTAACTGGTTAAATCTGAGGTTTTTAGCATCATAAACACTACAAATGAAGGATTAAACTGCCCTGGACCTTCATGAAGCCACCGGCAGATGTCACATGCTCATGTTCTGATGGAGGAAGTGAAAGCAATGATGAGGTCATTTCACGTTTCCCTTTTTAAATGTTGCTGTTGCGTGAATAAAGACCAGAGCGCAGAGCTTTCTTCCTTCCTACAGACGCTAGAAGATTATATTCACGTTTGATTCTGCAATCATCTTTACTGACAGATTTATCTTCTACATGCACTTCCCCTAAATCTGTATGAGATCACGTTTTAGAAGGTTAAAATAAGATCACACACACTACTGCTGGTGTCGGTATCATATTTTTTATGTTTTTGAAAGAAGTCTCTTCTGCTCACCACGGCTGCATTTATTTGATGCAAAATACAGTAAAAATAGTGAAATATTATTATCATTTAATACAGCTGTTTTCTATGTGAATATCTGTTAAACTGTAATGTATTTCTGTGATGCGCAGCTGTATTTT